ATAAAGTTGGTTTAAGATCCTATAGCGTGTCTTCATTTGGTTATTTACAGTATTTACACATGCAATGTAAACCTCGAATAATAAACTCAAATTATAATGGACTAAATTAATTGTAAAACACCACTATTTTAATTTGTATCACTGTATTCATTTATATTTTCCCGAAAAAACGGTGCGAGACGTTTTTACAGGGGCATCATTGGCATCATGCAGCCTTAACAAGGGACGAGTTAGGTTCTACGATATAGGTATACGCAGTGTCATGCTCCTTACTGATCGTAAAATTATGATAAACTTACATCGTATATTAGGTCCTGGGCATGTGGCGTGAAGTTCAAGAGAAACTTGCTTTGATTTTCCAATTTTCCATAAATCTACAAAGAAGTACATACTGTCATGTAACATCAAGTCAATTGTTTCCTTTATTCAGAAGACAGCTGGTAATATGCCGATTGTATTGAGTGTGTGCATGATATACGATTTTGACTCCAACAATATCGCGAAATCTTGCAGGAAATCTTAAATCCAATGTACATGAGGAATTTTAAATGATTTCGCTGGCAGGCTATTTTAATGTCTACAGTATTCCTTTAAATAAAGGGCAGGGCCGGCAGGCTATTTTAATAACAAAGCTACTCGAGTTTCAAACAGCATAGTGAGTAATGAGTATACTGTACAGTAAATATGTACAGCACAGAAATACAAGAAAAATATAAATATACATAATCTGTTAGAATCGGCACATGAATAAATCGTTCCAAACATGACTTATGGCAATTCGGGCAGTGTAAATTGGTTGAATGTCAGTCTACACATTGAAGCTCCCTTATCAATTGGATTAAGATGGTTTGCTAACACTAGCCTAAGCACCTTGCCACTATACAGCACATTCTATCAGCATATCTCAAACTTTTTGATAATTCATGAGTAAATTAGCCAACCATATTGCTTTATTTTGTTTTCATGATAAGACTGGATACCTGCAGGTGAACTATATTGATCCAATCCTAGGACTGGTTCGAAATTAATTCAATCCTTTGACTGGACTTTAAGCATAGTGATCTATTCGTATGAGATGTCATTTGACCAGGCCTTAAAATATCGGTCGGTCACGGACATTGTCCGACCCATTCGTGAAATTGTCCGACGTAGAGAGGAAACCACCGGACATTCTGTCCGACCTAAGTGAAACTGAGGTTTATTGTTTGTCCGACCCGAGTGTATTTGTGTCCGACCGAACTGTAGCTTTGTCCGACATAAATCAAAATGTATCCTAGCCCAGGACTAGAGGCTTGTATGTTAAATGGAAAATCAAAGTACTATTGTGTAAAAGGTGAACTGGGAATGTTGTTTTAACGTAGTCGAGCGCGGGGCGGCGACCGAAATGGTGAAGTGGAAAACGGGCTTAAGTTGTCGAAGTCTTTTTTAAAACTGCTGTTCTGGAAAGCAAGTTAATTTTGGCTTGGAAATAAGTATGAAAGAAACAAATTATTTAATATCTTCACAACATTTATCGTTCATAATTAATATTCAGACTTATTTCCGAGTCAAAAGTGAACTGAAGGTCATCGGACATATGTCCGACCCAAACTCAACGTCATCGGACGTTTTGTCAGACGGCCCTGTAAAAGATATTTTAAGGCCTGATTTCAAATCCTCCAATTCTGACTGGACTAGATTCCAAGTTTTCGCATTTTGATCCAGTCCTCAGCTTCGCCTTGGATTTGACCAAATTGCGCGAACTTGAAAATTGAAATGTAGTCCGGCAGTCCTCATAGTCGGATTTCAAATACTACACGATGGTCTGGAAATTGTCTGCATGAGTTTATGTTAATTTGTGCATGGTCACGGTGATTGAGCTCATTGTATTTTCGTAAAATGAAGTGATCGTCCAATAGGGATAGCTGAGATGAACCGTGCAACTACCATGAATAATATGTAATGAAGTTGAGACAAAGAATTTGTGCACGGCGAGGGACAGTTCAACATTAAACAAAGGACTTCTATTTTGTAGCTTTGAAGTTTGCCGAGTTTCCAGGCCATCATATATCTTGACAGACTATGCATTAAGTGATTTCCTCTATCTCTAAAAGCATGCTTTTTTAATGTTTTGAGGTCGCACAACTGACGTTAATAGAGAGGTTCAGATTTTGACTTCCACTGCTGCAACCGTTACATCTAACCAATTAATTTGCCCAATTAAACAATCAATACGTATTGAGCCTGTGAGGGGCATAGCGGTAGTGGTAGTAAAAATCAAATCTGAACCTCTCTAATATTATATATACAGTATGATTAGTTTTTTTCTCACATGTAACATAAAGAGCAAATATCGCCAAAACCCGTCAAAAAGTGTTTTTGTTTGATTTCTTGCACGACATATGCTCGCTCAAGGCAGTAGCTGCCTCACATGTCGATCAACGAAATTACTGGCGTTGCAGCGCCCAATATATAAGCGATCTATACATTTTAATTGCAAGCGATTTATCCCACGCGCATAAAAAATGCATATGACCTGCAGGCCTTGAGGGCATTTGTTTACTTTCAAAACAAACGAGGTGCGTGGAATGAGTCAGGCCGCACGTCGAGGTGCGCAGCTCAAACAGCCAGCTCTGCTGGGCACATGAAGAATATATGTTTGCATTCAGTATTGAGTTCATTCGATTCAGTATTGAGTTCATGAGATTCAGTATTGAGTTCGTGAGTCGTTGAGACTTACATTACTTAGGATGCACTGCATAACAAATGTTTGAGTCAAATACCTTACCTCTAATAGAGATGAGACTTGGGGTGCCTCCAAAAAATTCTTCAGAAAATTAATGTTCCCGTCAGTCTCGTGCGGTGCTCTGTGTGTCAGGTCATCTAAGCACAGCAGGATATCTGAAAAGACTAAACAAAAACAAATCTTGCTATCAACGAATTTTTATCAAGTCTCACAAATTGACAATTTAGTTTTGTGGACCACAGCTGGAATGGCACACCGATGCAAAACCTTAACCATGCATACACAGTTCTCTACAACGACAAGGTAGAGATTTAAAGTTTGTTCGTTCACTGCAACCAGGTA